GATGCCACAGAGGCACCTGGAAGCCAGCAGGCATCATGCTGCCATTGGGACCTATGGAGACAGCAGCGATCCAAGGAAGCCTCAGCCAGCCAAGCTATTTATAACATCTCCCCAGGACTCCACCATCTGGCGGCTCCTGCAGGTGCTTTTCTTACCTTCCATTCAGGGCTGTTGGGACGCCAGGAGGGGGCGAGGCGTGGGTGTGGCACAACAGTAGAGTCTGGCCATGGAGGACCCGTGTTGTCCTAGCCTACTCTGCGCTATGCTATATGTCAGTGGTGCCCTCACTGTAGCGTACTGGTCAGGAGAAAGACAGGCCCCACCAGTAACAGCACCATTCCACTCAACGGAGAGGAAAGAGATCATGGGTCGAAAAATTAGTGCCGTCCTTCCCTGTGCGACTCCAACTTTCATTTCGAAGCAATTTCCCCGCTGTGTTTCCTGGCATTGGATAATGTGAAGACTCACCAGAGCGCAAAATAACAACAACAACTGCAGGGAAGAAATGAAAAGGATGAGCAGGGGGAGGATATCCAAGGGGTGAATGGGAAAACAAATGGGAGATTGAGGCAGGGATAGGGAGGGCCGGGAACGCGATGGCCTGACACCTAGTGGCAGTTGTGAATATTGCGGGGAGTGGCGGAAACTAGAAGCAGGATGAAGAATGGACTGAGGGGGATGGACAGAGGTGGATGAAAAGATAGCAGCAAGAGAGGAATGACGAGTGACATGCATGAAGTGTAACTTTACACTTCACTAAGCATTCTAAAAGAGCATGTGATTTTCTTTGAAGATGAAAAAGGTACAGTTTTAGAGTCGGGGCTGAAAGATGACCCACTGCCCAAAAAAATCTGTCCGTCCATCCATCCATCCATCCATCCATCCATCCATCAAATCACTCATCCTGAGCGGGGGGGAGCCTATCCCAGGTATCACAGGGCCCAAGGTATACTGTAGATCCCTAAAAATCCCTAATATAAAACATTACCTTTCAATATCTCTCCTTACTGGTTACTTTCATTCCTTTAAAGAATTAATAAGCATTATTAGCATTCAAAAATCTTTTTGTCTTTCATAAATACTTCAGCTGCACTCTTGCTTTGTTCTCTCTCTCTCCCTCCCTCCCTCCCTCCCTGAGAGCTGAGTCCTCTGCTCCTGTATCTCAGCACCACGCCTCGGTTGTGTGCAGCCCTCCAGATCTCCATCCACACAAACACCGTGTCGTTCGCTGCTCCCTTGGCGGACATCATATGGCAGCCAAACCTCAGCGAGGGCGACGATGAAGACGTCGCAAATCGCTAACTGGCCATCGTGAAGGCGCGACGTTTAATGCGAGGAGCAAGCATTTCACCTCGGAATCGTTGTCAAATGGGAAAATCTATCCCTGAAAACATGTGCTTTGGTACAGCTGAGCAAGGAAAGAAATGTTCGGTTTTACGACAATTACAAGCATGAATAAGCCTGAAAAATGGACAGGTGCACAGAACAGTGATCGCTTGACAATGTGTGTCCCTTTTGCGAGGGAGATGCCAGCCTTCTGCACAATTGTCAGCCGAGTGGAAATGGGGGGGGGGATTCTGACAGGCGGGTATGAGGGGGACGTGACACAGGCGTGTGAAAGAGCAAATGGGGCTGTTGAGCTTCTGCAGTGAGATCGCTGGGAACAGATGTTCTGAGTATGAAAAGACATAAGGCTTCACACTGTATTGACGTGTGCACAGTTTAGTCATACAGCACTGCACAACGCAGCTAATCCAAGGCCAAAGAATTGACCAGAGTAGGGTCACCTGCATGGTAACCCCTCATTCTCTGTCTCGTCCTAATTACCCGTTCCAGAAGGACCTTGAGAATAGATGTGAACTTCAATGCCCGCTGTGGCACTCATTTAACTAAATGCTGTGAGGCTTCTGCTGAGCGCAGCAGTGCATCAACGTGCTGAACCTGTCACTTCCGTGGCTCTCCTCCAACAGGTGTGATAAAGCAATCAGGCGCCTTCCAAGGCCGCCACGGCTGCAGAAGGAGCTATTCATAGACTCCCGCAGAAGTGGAACAGGAAGCTCACAGTCTACAGGTGTGCGTTCTACATACAGCCTTAGCACATTGCTAAAGCTAAGAGCGCTAAGCACTAAGAGTGCACGTTATTACTATGGAGTTTCTCCGTGAGTGCTTTTTGTGTGTTCTAATTCTGATTTAATATTCCACTCTTTGCGATAACGCATTCTGTATGACATTTTCAGCATTTCAATTCCAGTAGTGCGTTGGACGTGAAACCCTTTACCTCTGAGGGAACAGCGCGCCCTGCTGAAATATGCCGGTACTGCACGTCACCGGCTGATTTCCGACAGGAAACGAGCTGGGTTGCCATCCCAACGGCGGTCTCTTAGGCTTTGGTATCCAGTTCATAACCGTAAAAATCCATTAGCGAGGGCCATGTCCGTCAGGCTAACCTTCAGACGGCTAAAGTGCACATGTGTTGGCGATCTCCCTGTCCTGTCTTATATAACCTCTCCGGCAGAAACCGGGGCGAAAAGCACAGCCCTGGCTACAGCAGGGAAGCGTGAGCACGCTCCTGTAGGAGGAAACTGAAGCCCACACGTTGCTAAATTTAGCCCATGGAGGTTGAATACGCTGAGAACCTCCCACGAGTGCACGAGCGCTAACAAAGCACGGGCTGCCACAAAACAGCCTATTAAAGCTGTCACGGTGATCTGTGTGTCCGGTGACCATGCACGCTTACATGCCCCTTTCCCATGTCACTTCCTAACAACTAAGCTGGGGGGTGGGAGGGGTCGCTCAACTCAACCAGCCCGGCAATGTGGCACTAAAGCACATTGACACCGGGGCATAGTGTCGTTCGTTTAGGACGCCGAGTGCATGCTGCTCCGTGATTGGCTGAGCGGGAAGGAATCCAGAGGCGGTGCTGAGGTAGAGAATGGGCGCTTCAATGAAATGTGGCAGTCTGTGAATTAGCGCAATCGGTCCCTGTCCGAATGCGGCACGCGTATTGTTTAATGCGCTCAGTGAGGGCAGACAGCCGCCACTGAGAACAATAACGTATATCTATCCGTTTATTAAGAACCTCCTCATGACTTGTACTGGATAAGCAACTAGAAGATGGATAGACGGATGGATGACCTTAACATTCCACGTCACTTCACATGTCCTAGAGCAGTGTTTCTGAACCCAGTCTTCGGGGAACCCTGGACAGTCCACGTTTTTGCTCCCTCCCAGCTCCCAGCCAATCAGGAATACCGAATATGTGGTACAGGACAGGTGCACTGGGGGGCTGAGAGAAAGCAAAAAAGTGGACTGTCCGAGGTTCCCCGAGGACTGGGTTGGGAAACACTGTCCTAGAGCATTGTTTTCCATTCCGGTTCTCTGGGACCCACAGACAGTCCACGTTTTTATCGGGAGCTGAGGGGGAGCAAAAACATGGACTGACTGTCAGTCCCCGAGGACCGGACTGGGAAAGTTAAATGGACACGTACATTTAGCAACATACTGTATATGTGATTCTACCTCTGGGTCCCTGAACAAACACTTAAAATAAACTTTAAGACAGCAACTTCTGCGCTTCTGATGGAAATACCGAAACAACTTTCATAAGGCAGCTGCTTGTGCATTTGCTCACCTCCAAGGCATCACACTGAAGATCTTTGTGAAGAATCTCTGTTTATTCTCCAGTTTATTTTTGTTTTACTTTTTCTTATGCTTTCTGCGCTGCTCCCTGAGACATGTCGATGTCACGAGCGATCGGTGTGCTGCAAAATCAGAATTCGAAACGAACACGCAATAATAAAAAAGAATGAAGAGGGAACGATTCGCGTAACTGAAGGCTCGCTAAGATTGACGGCTCCAGCTTAACAGTGCTTTTTCAATAAACTGTTCTACAGAAATTCATAGAAGGAGAAACGTCGGTATTACAAATTGGTGCCTTTTCCCGGCACACACAAAATCCCGAACTGAAACTGCTAGAGCAGTGTGCTGTCCAATTAGAAGAGCAGGAAGCTAATTAGTGTCTAAGAGCACTCCCTGAAGCCGGTACCTGAGAATACCAGGCAGGTTATAATACATCTGGCATCACCACTCAACATGACCACCGATACGCTTTCAAACAGACGGCACTCGAGTAACAACAGCGAACGCTGCGACGCTGTGTGTAATCTGCCAGACAGAAGCAACAGGGACTTTAACTTTGTTTTGTAAGCATTAACGAATTATACCTGTTCCCTAAGCCCGAGAGAACATGAGTTGATCATTAATTAAGGACACACTCATACAGAACAGCTACAAGTGCTTCTGGCCAATCAGTTTCTTGCAAATTCAGAGCATGCTTCCAGTCATCAGGCTCAGGAGGAGACCCCAGCGGCAGCCGATTCTGGACATTTAGTGAGTCAGCAATCATCTTGTGGGTCTTTGTGGTGCTCGCAGGACAGAGCTCATGCCAGGCGTGGCCAGTCTTTAACATAAACTTTAGGTCAGCTGTGAAGACTCTTCAGTCAATCAGTCCTCTAATTAGTTATCTAATTAGGCAGTTGCAGCGAAAACCCGCATACCCAACGGCCCTATCTGGATAAGATTGCCTACCCCTGTCTTACGGGGTTTCAGTCTAAAAACTTCAGCAGATTTTCAGTTTGCTGCCTGGGGGTCTTGGCCTCACAGGAATATGGTCTTTAAATATAGAGTGGGCTTCTATATGCCTGGCTTTATAGAGTAGACTAGTTAAGGACAGTTTCAGAGGATATTCTCAATGTGTGGAGTCGTTATGGGTGACAGAAATGTTAAATGGAGGGGAGGGGGGGGGGCAGGAATCCACATGCAAAGATCAAAGTGCCTGAAGAATTTTCTGATTAACCAAGAATCTCTCTCTGCAAAGTCAGTAATAATCTCCTTTATAAACCAGCCTCTCTGCAATGTGCTGATAGGCTGCAGAGAAGCACGTGTGGGTCGAAGGTACTGTGCCTGGCGGTCTCGCGGCTTGTGGCCCTGGGCCTGCTCACCTCCACGCACAGGAAGCAGGGCACGATGGTCTTGCTGGTCTTCAGCCCTGGCTTCTCCACCGGCATCCTCCTGCTGGACGTCTCCCTTCTCTCTCGCTGCATCTGAAGCTGCAAGCAGAAGCACCAGGCTTCAGTTACTCCGGTCGACCTTCCAGAACGGTGACAGACCTTTTTTTTTTTTTTTTTCACCTTGCTTTTGCTCTTTATGTATGTGACAGATTTTTTTTTTTTTTTTTTTGTGTCATGACAAGGTTCTAAAATATGTATTCTGCACCTTCAGAGCCCCTGCAAACCCAAAACATGGATAAATATTCAGAGTAACGGTTGAAGAATGATGTTGTGGACAAAAATATGACAGACAGTTGGTCTCAGCTACCCCAGTGTAACATCCAGCGTGGGTTCAAAACAATGAGCTAATCGCATTCACACCATATTGTTTGTGAGAACAACCAGCCTTCTGTTAGCCGCAGTGAGGGTGGCAGGCAATTAAAACACACTCCCTCCGGAGGGGGGGGGGGTCTTTTAGCAAGTTCCTTTCCAGTCTCTGCAGTTTTTTTTTTCTTTCCTTTGTTCTGTTGCAGAGCCTGCACTAGGTTGAAAAACTAGTGGCTCAAGTTAAGTCATTTCAGGATTAATCACTGGATCTGCTTTCCTCTGCCCTTGGTCCACTTTCCTGCTGCAGGATCATAGCCAGTGTGGAGCCCATCCCAGGAAACACAGGGCATGCGGCAGTGTGAATGCTGTCCGTCACGCGGCAGTGTGAATGCTGTCCGTCACGCGGCAGTGTGAATGCTGTCTGTCATGCGGCACATACTCGCATGATCCCATGTGCAGAAATTCAGAGACACAATTCCGACTGAGCTACAGGGACAATGGGATGAAATTGGCGTACCCCAAGGAAATGCAAACTCACCACACACCGAGCCAGGGAGGGAGATCGAACCCACAACCCTTGAATGTAATAGTAACCATTCCAGATCCATGTTGCCTATGGGCTCCGATTCATGCAGGACCCCCTACCAAGACCAGTATGCCTCAACTTCTGCCTTGATCACATTCCAGTCATTAAGGCTAGCCAGCACGTATTGACGTAGGTGGTAGGATAGGGGGCGTCTAAATGGGGCGGATGGGGAACTTCAGTCAGCTGCTTTGTGAAACCTCATTCATGGGATGCCCCCCCCCCCTTCATCAGCCAGAAATCCACCCACTCAGCAGCTGGCAAACACCACCCCTCCCCCGGGCAGACACGTTTGAAAGCACCCCGGTCAATACTACCCATATTTATTTATTTAATTTTACAACAAGAAGGACCAGTAAACAGGAAGCGCGGCCCAGCTCCTGGTGCCAGAGGGAACGGCGTGGAGCTGCATGCACAAAGCAGCCCGGTGACAGCCCTGGCAAGCAGTGCACTGTACCTGTCACACCGCTCAACGAGCCGACCGCAACAAACGGGAGCGCCGCCACTTTAAGGGCACTGCGGACCTTTTCAGGTCTTACATGTGGATCTTTCCCAGTGGACACGCCCCAAAGAATCTGCACGGAGCAGCAAGCATAAACAGTGTAGAAGGTATGGGCCTAGTTTGTGGTGTTTCATCAGCCTCTTTAGGACTGTGAGATCAGGAGGTTGCTGGTTCAAATCCCAGGGTCGCCAGAGTGGTTTCACTATTGGAGGCCCTAATACACAGTTGTTCCAGGGACTGTCTGGCCCTGCTTTCTGAAATGTATGTCACTTTGGATAAAAAAATGTCTGCTAAATTAATAAATGTAATATATGTAAACCTCTTGGGTGGCTGGCTTCACCACAATAGATGTGACATGGAAATGGGATGCGGCTCCTGGGTCGCTGAGAGGCAGGGTGCCAGCCAAGTCTAAGTCACTCCTCTGACCGCAGAGGAGAGGAAAGGAGGCTCTGTGAGGGATGCGGAAGGCACTCCGCAACTGGGGGGGGGGGGGGGCTAGAAACACAGACCCTCGCAAACATCTTCACAGCCTTGGCTGGCAGTTATGTTTGAATCACTTGAAAGCTACGGATATGAAGCTTTCATTAAATGGAGCTCTAATCCATCAAAAGTAACATACTTAGACATGATTATTATATGCTTTAATCGCTTCACACTAAGGTATTAGCACTAAGCATGCACCTAGACTGTCCACCTTAACACACACAGTCTGTCCACTCTGAGATACAGTGTCCATATCTCCACATCCTTGACCTAGACAATACCTTCTTACATACAGACTGTCCACCTTTTTGCACACCTTGGTCACACTGACTGACCTTCCTTAGACATAGACTGTCCAGTTAGATAATGGCCCCAGCGTGACATATTAAAAATACCAACACAGTTTCCACAATGTCCAAAAAACAAATGTGACTGTAGACAGCAAGACAAAATGTCCACTATTAGATATAATAAGATGTAGAAAATAAACATGGATGTTGAGAGTGTCCATAAACTACATACTAAATACAACAAGGACACAGTAAGCAAGGGGTTTCAACAGCAGACCATTAATAGTGTTGATATTTAAAGATGCAACCCAGATTGTCCACACTATTTATTGTAGATCTTTAATAATGCATACAGCTGAGTATTTTCAGAAAGAAGTCAGGTACAAGGTATTAATTTTAGGTAATTGAAGACACGTTTATCTTTAAATAAAGACAACCTTCCTAGTCAGAAAATCAGTTCTTTGATAGCTCCTTCGTACCCAAAGTCATTTTTGCGTGTATTTGATGTTCTTGTCCGTGGTGAGAATGGCGAGCCGACATCTCGGGAGCAACTGAGATACAGTAATTTGCTCTAGGGCACATGATATATCTACTCAGCCCACCATGGGATTTGAACCCACAACCTTCGGCACAAAATCCATAACCTATTGAGCCACATGGTGCCCCAACTTCCTCTTCTACAAAGCCTGTAACCCTCACATAGGGAATTATGCAGAGGAGTCCTCAGCTGTACTTCAGCATCCATGCAGAGTGTGTTTATGTTTATGTGAGCAAATGCATGTGTGCACACACCAACGCAAACATACACACACACACGCATGCACACTGCATCCCCATCTTCACACATCCCGTCCCCCATACTAACACAGTCCCACATACAACTGCCGACATGGGAAAAGGGTAATAGGATTTGAGGGAAATTGCGTTTGCCATTTGGGGAATACCGCGCTAAAACATGAACACTCTCAGCTGCTCTGATCCAGCAATGTGGGTCACAGACAGAAGTCAGCCGTTTCCCCCATTATGCTACACAGATGCTTTTCACAGCCCGACACCGTCAAAAAAAAACAACTCAAATTACCTCGATTTGCGTCCGTGGAGATGCCGTGCTGAACACACCTGCCAAATCTTCACGTGAGAGGCGAACGGGGGAATCACACTGAGCTGCAGCCCTACCTCACTCGCCTCGTTGCCGTGGGCTAGATTCCTATGCAGACATCGTTGCCGTGGGAGACAAGTGATGCTGAATCAAATGTCGAGGCTTAAGAACCCTGGTCTCCCCGCCACTCGCTTCCCCGGAGCCGAAAACGCCCGCCCTCCGCTCTCTCCGCGTGCTGGATGATCTCCGAAGAGGACCTCCAGATGGAGACGCGCGACACGGACTGCAGCTTCTACCGACGCCCCCTTCCTTGTGGCCCCGGCAAGTGCCAGAGTCTCGCACGGTATCGACCCCCCCCACCCCACGTAATTTGCCAGCTCAAATGGCTGCCTATGGCTAATTAATTAAACAGTCTGAAATTGCTGGCTTCAGTGGTTCTCGGTACAGATGCAGTGAAGGCACAGGCAGAGTGAGAGAGAGGGAGGGAGAGACACGCAGAAAGAGGTGGTGAGAGAGAGAAGGACAGAGAGAAAGAGAGGAATTAGGAGACGGAGCAGAGCAGCAAGCATAGCAGAGAAATAGAGCGAGAGAGAGAGGTGTATCAGGAAAAGAGAACAAGAGCAGCTCATCTGAATTCGGAGCACAGCTTCCCAGCTGGATGAATCAGAGGAGGGATTTACGTGGGCATGCAATGGGGGTATAAGACCTATGCGCAGGTGAATGATCTGTCAAGCGGCACCCACTCTGCCCTTCTGACCAGGAGCTGGGGAAGGGATTGGCCACATGGGGTCCGATGACATGGTTAAGGCACCCCATCCGTGGCTTATTATTGATGGACGCCTCCTTGTATGCAGGTAACCGTGTATGCCCACCCATGCCAGTGTCCACGCTATTGGCTGGACTGAGGGGATGATGGCGACCCTCAGATTGCACCATAGTTTCTCGCACCCCTTCGCTTGATCCTGTATAATTGGGCTGTTTACCATTAAAACTGCAATCCAACGAAGGGGAGACATGCTCGACTGTATGACACATTGACACAATAAGTCAGGGAATGATGGAGAGAATGATGGAGAAACACAACCATGTGACACGGAAGGAATCAAAAACAAAACTCAAGTACAAACAGACAAAACAAAATGGACGTTGGGTAGCAGGCAGGCTACAGCTCAGCGTGGGGCTGGGCTTCAGGGTTTGTGAGCGTTTACTAGGCGAGAGAAAATTAAACAACTGAAAATATGATAAACTGACTTTGTTTATCCAGTATAGAATCAGTCTGGAGACTCTCCCAGGCGCCACAGGGAACAAGATGGAGGAGCACCTGGGGGGGGGGAATTCCAGACCTTCACAGTTCCCTTAATCTGGCTTCCACACCTTTGCAGGATCCCACATGTGTCCGTGTCGAACCCACAGAGAAACTGCTCTAAGTAGAACCGACTGCTTGAGCAGCCTGGGGTCACTGCAGAAATGATTAAAGATGATGCATCCGTTTAGTTACAGAACAGAGCACCCAGAACCCAAGGTTCACTCTTACCTGTACATGTGTGCGCGGGTCTCGAAGGAGAGCAAGATCACTCATATACAAAAACGAAAGAATTCCTATGTACCTCTACTTGTACTTGTAGAAAAAAAGAGGTCTGGTTGCCGATTTTGGCCATCCAGCCGTATGCCCTATTGCCGCATTGATGGATAATGCGGGGCGTCTTACTGTTGAGGTTTGCGTATATCTTATGTAAGTTCAAGACAGCACTCAACACTCAGGAAGCCGCAGTCTGGATATGGGGCTATAAGGGAAACCGTTACAGACCGTTTGGTATGTCGGCAGACACTTGTAGCCAGCAAGGGGAGGGATTTTCTGTATCTGAGGGCAATGAAATCAATACCTGAGTCTGATTTTGTGAGCCAGTTCTCATCACCCTCGCTCATGTTTTCAAATTAAGCTGTTTTTCTCTCAGAGTAAATTACATTAAGGGGATATAGTAGCTCAGGGTCACCAGGATAAAGACGCCCCTGAATTTCTACACCGAGGTCTTTCATCCCTGATGTCTAACTGCATCTGTGGTTCAGTCACATGTGTGGGTGTGTGTCAGAATTAATGGAGACCTGCCATGGCAGGCAGAGGTGAAGGTTTCCTTGGTGGAGGGAGGAGGTACGTTGGAGTCAGAAGATAAGTTGACAAAAATTGGATACCTGTAGCGCTTTGACCCATTTGACTAAAAATATCGACCGGGGACACCAAGCTAAGCTGAGCGTGCATTCCTGTTGCCGTGGAGAATGGCATGATATTGGCCTAATGCCCAAACAGACATGAGATACGGTCCGAGTGGTACTACGGTCCCGTGATGTGGGATCCCGCTATTCCTGCAGACCACTCACCTCAGTTCACCGAGGGAGTCGACCCTGATGACATATGTGTCCTATTTTCACAGTTTTATGCCCACAGTATCCTAACTCCTTTACTATGTTTGTCCAAAATCTCGTTGCTATTTACAGACGTTACAACAAATGCCCAGAAACGGCAGCAGCAGCCTGACCAGGGGTTTATTATCATTTATGCCGTATCGTTTCACGTGGAAACTCGAACCGTGGACCCCTCTGCCACCCACACACAGAAGCCCACAGGGAGAACTCCGGTACTGCCAAACTGCAAAGCGCCGCAAGACGGAAAGGGGAACGCAAACGTTCTATCATTTCATCCTACCCATCGAAATGTCCTTCCAAACCGAAATGTCCTACCATATTTATTGTTCATGGCTACTTGTCCATAAATTCTTGCTACCAGCACATGCTCCTCGAAGACTAAAGTATCTACATAAAAATGCAGTAAGTACGGTACCAAGTATTATTTTATATATATAATTTAATATAGCACAGTAAGTACAACACCAGGTTTTATTTTCTATAAATAATTTAATATAGTGCAGTAAGTACAGCACCAAGTATTATTTTATATATATATATAATTTAATATAGCTGAAAAGTATGTTTTTCCCATAACTGAAGCTCTAAAGTGTAATCGAAACAAGGTTAGGGTATCTAAACAGGTTAAGTACTGATGGTAGTATGTTAATCTGATGGGTGTATTTGGGCTGTCCAAATATGCTGTCTGTGGTTTATTGCCAGTAAAGTGTCCTAGTTAATATTTTAACTGGTTAAATACTGATATCAGTATTCTTCCTATGGTTTAAGAAATACCAAGTATCATTTGCTCATCACACTTGTAGAGTTAAGTACTAGTCGACATTTTGCTAAGCCAAGCTAGAAGGAATTAGGCTACATCCCTGGTACTACTGTTTGATAGTGCAGCAAAAAACGATAGATGTCGCTATAAATAAATTCTGGACTAGGTCATAGGAATCTTCTTGAACCAATTGCTGTATTTTCTGACACCACTAGATGGTGGTCTCTGTACAAAAATGACTTAATGCATGCCCCAAAGCAAACCAAGAGCGCCATCTATTGGGGTAAAATACAGAAAATGGTTCCTGAAGCCCCATTTGCCTATGACTACAATACTGCTGAAGTGATCACACTACCTGCGATCTTACACTGAGATGGGGTCGTCTCCTGTATTAATAACACCAATGCAGTGCCCAAAGGGAGCATGGGCAAACCTCCGACACCCCACGATTACCGAACCGCATCAGTAGCCGTCTGACAGGCATGAGAATCATCACATCATGTTCATGTTTGTCCCTGGCTGGAATAAACATAGCAGCCTCGCCACGTTATCTGAAATTATGATGTTGACAGTCATCTTCACGTCCACTAACCTTAACGTCATTTTCGGCAGCTCGGGCTATCTGCAGAAGGGTCCAGATTTTAATTAAGGCAGAATAATTCGTAGCACCTGCATAATGCGTTATTATTTATTATTATTGATGGACCACTTCAGCTGTCGGTCCATTACAACTAAGGCAGCGTGGATTTCGTTTAGATAGTAGATACTGCGCCAAATAAACTGTCCGTTCAAATCTGCGTCTTTAATCGCCTGTTGACTGCGCATATACATAGGCCTACATTAAAATACCTCAGCAGTAAGTGTATGCTCATATATTTATTAGATTTCATTTTGGATTTGTATAAGTATTTCCTAGTTTAAATTATACACGATTATAATGCTGTGCTTATTTTCTTTTCAACAATTAATTGAAATCAGTGGGACCGGGAACAGTTAAAGTGGCGTGTACGATCCCGTTTCAGTCAACGAAACTCAATCTTAGACTATTAAACATCTAAACTATTCATGCAAGGAATCAAATGTCAGCTTCCATGAATCCATGGTGCCCTATCCATCACTTAAATTTACCCTGTACAGGATGTGCTCCCATGATTGGATCTAGTTGCGCACAGAATACATAAATTATAGTTTATAAGGCTGTAACATTAAAAACATCTGTATGAGGCTCTTCAAACCTCACGGCGCGATTATCTTTTAATGCGCTTTACCTGCCAAGTTTTTTGGGGAAAAAAGGGTTTCAGCAATAGGATATTTTTCATGTTTCTTTTTTTTCTCATTTCTCACCGCCCTCAGCTGGGATGTGAAAACAACAGGAAATGAGAGATGTTTAATCGGCAGCTACCAGTTCTGGCTGTGTGAAAAGTGGGTTGGCCGCGCCGCAGAAACCCGAGTCAGGTAGCGCCGGGCGCCGGGGAGCAGAGCCGCTCGGCCGCGATGCAACTGTCGAAGAGGCTGCAGGGGTGAAGCGCTCTCTGAAGGGCGATCCGGCCATCAATACAAACACGAGGTCTGCTGGCCGCAGAAATCAACGCCAGAACATTTCTCTTAGTTTTCGTTCGGGTTTTTAACTCCTCTGCACGAAAACTCAGGTGTTTTTTTTTTTAAGTGGGACGAATACAGTTAAATTTGAAGCGCACACGTGGATCTGACTGAACGCGTTTAATACCCTCCATTTCCGGATAATTTATTGTTTTTTTTTTGTGGGGGGGCTTCATCTTTACATATACGCTTCCTGAGAAGATCAACCACCCGGAGCCAGGTAAGCCTACCAGTACACTTAAGCGCATTTCTAGCTCGTCCTGCAATGCTGTTTGATGGCTCTGTAATGGGCGAGTTTTATTTGATCATGTTCCTTTTTTAAAACTTCTGTCCCTGAGCCTGGCTTCGTTTTGCGATCGTGCTAGATCGCTCGCTGGATGGGCAGCGGCTTTACTGTCTCTCAGTACAAACTGCACACATGATCGCACATTTAAAGTAATAATTTAACAATCCTGCTGACGCTTAGACTTTATTTTACCGCGGAGTCGTGCAAGCAAAAGTTAACGTCCGCTTATTTTTTTTTATAAAGTGGTTTATGGTTAAACGCATCCGTTATGATAGCAAACTGTGTCTATACAGCGACTTGCAAACATCTGCTCTCGTCCCAGATATATTTTGCTTCGCGGCTTTTCGTGAGAATCAGACTAAACTTAGTGAATTGTTATTTTGTTCATTCCCCCACCCCCCAAAAAAAACTTTCACATTTGCATGGAGGGGTACGAAGATGGGGCAGTTTAGATCGGGCTATCCTGGGACTCGGACTTGCCCTTGGCAGGTTTTTGTCCCAACTTCCATAACTGGCCGCGCTGGGTAGCTTCCTATGCCCAAGCCAAGGGCGTGGAGGTTTAGATTTTAAAAATCAACAACTCCTACCTGCACTGGCAAATATTTACTGGAAGTTAATGACACGGTAAGTAATAGGTTAATCACACGCTTCTATGCTACGCTGACGGTGAAAAGGGGCTTGAATGTTTTTAAAAGTGCAACAAAGCCATTATGGTTTCAGAACCTTATAAAATTCATGCGCTTAAGCGTGTATTTTTTATGTGCTTTTAAATGGCTAGATTTATGTGGCATTAAAGTTTATATAGCTGTGTGCCCATGTTCTTTTATTTGAGGTCCAGGGGTCACCTGGGGTGCACACTCACTTCCGGAAGTTAACTTAATTAGGACAGTGAAAGGTACCCTGTTTGTGACTGTTCAACAGACGTTCAGGAATATTTCTTATAGAGTTACTTGCTATTTAAGGGAGGCAAGGCCATAACTATAACACTCCCCCTGCACAATATTCAGATGTTTTCACAATGTTCCTCCCCAAATCACACCTACATCTCTGGAGTGTGTGTGTGGTGACCGATGAGAGTGTGTGTGTGGTGACCGATGAGAGTGTGTGTGTGGTGACCGGTGAGAGTGTGCATACCTGTCCGCTGATGGCCAGGTTGTCTTGTGCCCCACGCAGCATTTAAGACCGTGACGGATGTACACCCGAAAGCAGGGGAGTGAGTCACTGGGTAGGAGCAGTGTGCCTGAGGCTTGCAGAGCTCGCACGCAGGCAAACACAAGCTAGTGAGACGGAAAGGAAAAGGCGGCGAACGAAGCCTCCTTTCCGCTCAGAGCCACGGACACTGCATGTCCTTGAATGTAGGAAGTCGTAATTAATTTACCGACTTGGTCTCGGGGACCGTTCCAGATCTCGTCCAAGTGGGCAGGCAGCTGCGGAGACGTTGTGAGCACCTCTCGGAACTTCGTTGTCATGGTGCGCTTTCTCTACCCTCTCGACGCCGGCTTTCGACGGAGTGGCCTGCTTCTCATCTTGTTTGGTGAACTTTAATCATCAAACGACAAGATATTTTGAGTATCAGACGGACATGTTGATGAATAAAGGTGACTGCGGAGGTGGAGTGAATTCTCGCTTTGACTTGGTGATGGGCTTGTAATTGAGCAAAGGGTCAAACCATGCTGACATCAGCAGACGTTACGTGGCTCAGAATCCAGCATCATGTCTTAAGCTCTTTAATGAATTTAATGAGCATATTAGGGTATACCTGCCCTTGAACCCCACCTGTGCTCAATCAGACGAGTAGTTTCTCATTATCAAAGTCTCGTAAAGGTCTTAAAAACACATTTTGTCTGATCTAGAAGCTATGAGTTTGGTGTGTTGATATCATGACATGGGTGTGCTCCTCTGTCCCTGGCAATGCATTGTTTAAAAACAGCTGGACTAATTAGTGAAAGAAACACCCTCCCCCCACCCCGTAAGTAGATGCAGACATAGACCCCCATCCATCTTGCATACTTGACGGTCTGGATTGAACTCTGGGAGGCTCTGTTGAGTCCAGGCACTAAACGTACTGCAGAGACATTCCTCACTGCTACCGCGTGCCTCACGTTCAGCCCTGTATCGCATTTCCGCACGCGCTGTCCTGTGTGATTCCGGTTTTCTCCTCTGTGTCACAGAAGGTGCTGCCTTACAGAGCGTTTAGGGGCCGTTTCGCTGGGAAAGGTGACTGCGATGACAGTGGCGCCGATCGCTGACGCCTCTCGTTGTGGGATTTGGGTATTTGTGGTTTCCCTGGGCCCACAGCTGCCCACGCTGCTGCACACGACGCCCTTCGATTGTTCGCCGGTTGCCTGCGTTTCCCCACCGCGTCCTGGCTTTACAGATTCGGAAGCTGTCAGAGCCGCCAGAGTGAAAAAATCAATTTGCACGCTATTATTTATTTTCTGTGCTGTGAAATGGAGGCCCAGTCCCCTGGAGGTGCATCAGACCTGCATGTTGGGCTGATCTGTACCCAACCCTGCTGAGCCTGCAGTTGATGCTGCTTCATTGGTTTGGAATCTATTCAACTAGTTATAGTAAATAATGATCACTATTCACTATAATAGTGTTACAACACACCTGGTTCAGAGTTTACCTCAGCCGTATGACCTGTGCTACCTGAAATAGTTATTGTTTTATTAAAACTACTATTATTAATTAATATAATATTAGCATTGGTCCGATTTATAAGATGACCCTCCACTTTTTTGCAACTATTTGTAGAAAAGTTACCTTTATAAAGAAAAAGAATTTTATTTGACAAGAACATATAATAAGATAACCAGAAATTCAAAAGCAACCATAGGCAGTCGGATTACAATAAGAGTATTACACATAGTACATTTGTTTTTTTGGAATGTTTGCTGTATTACTTTGGGGGGGGGGGGGTAGATAATGAATATTATAAACTCCACAGCCCTTTAGGGCTCAGAATGCTTGCGATGCAGCAGACCCTCATGTAGAGGGCAAAAAGATGTATTGCAGACAAAGGTTGAGCCATTTTAATAAATGCCATTATATAGCTCTTTTAAAATGAATGTTACTGTCTTTAGTAACAGTCACTATCGGCTTAACTCTAGCAGCAGCACAGCCAGGGAAGCCAACAATTTACACGACACTCAGGGATACACGCTAAACACACGCATGGGCAGGGCTGCCAGCTCTCACGCGTCTGGCGTGACACTCGCTTTCAGACTCTCTGGCTCAAGCAAGAAATGTTACAGCAAATCTCCATTACAGTAAATTAAAACACTGGTTACAAAATATTGTATTTGGCACCATCCATTCCATTTTTTGTCTAGACCCTGAATATAAGAGGACACCACTTTTTCAGATGTATTTTTAGAAAGAACATCACATTTTCAGGCCAACATGGGAATAACAATGGTAGTAATATTATGCATGGTTTGTCCCTACTCAAGTACATTCAGTATGCATGACAGATCTCTTCCAGAAACACCTCAACGTTTGTCAGCAGGACCAACCTCCTCTCCAACACTGACTCTCACTGGCTCACAGTCTATGGTTGACCTCCCGCGTTGAAGTAGCTGACTTGACACTATTGGACGCTCTTTAATGTTGTATGTTGCTCTTTGTCTAGATTCTCCGCTTGGTGACATGCCTTTCTGGAGATTTTAATCAGTGTTCATATAGCTTATTCCCCCCGCCCCCACCATCTCGCACCAGTTTTTGGTAGAGATGCACGAAATATAGCACGGGTGTCAAACCGGAGCCCTATGAATTTTTTGGTTCACCCTCATTTAACACACCTGATTCATCTCCTTGTGCTAATTACCACACAGTTCTTTCCCTGTTCCACCACAAATGATTCAGCTCAAGAGCTAAGCTACACAGGACACCCCTGATATATAGGCTAACATCATTATATGCCAACATTTTGTTAAAAATCAAGATACCTGTATCAGTCTGTATTAGTTTTGGCCGATATTGCCAGCTGGTATTTAAACTTTGCCATTATTCAGTGTTGGCAGCACCAAAGCTTAATACATAATTACTAAAATAATGGAGAGGATTGCATAGTACTATCTTCCATAGTGGAGGATGAGGGATTTCCTCAGCTTATTCAGCACTTATAAGAGATCTCAAAGTACTGACCTGCCACATGTTTATAATTCATTATTAAATCTGGCCGGCAGATCGATCTTTTTCCACAATAAAACGGCCGTGATGTCATTCCGCTAGTCTGCGCTGGCAAGCTTGGTGAGGCTCGACTGGGTCAGAGGTTAGCTGGTTGTCGGCATCAGCGATACTAGTTTCTGGTATTTAAAAGGAAGCGCAGCCTAGCAGCACCTGTACCTGACTAGACAACTTTATGTTTGTGATGCATCACTTGTACATCGCTTGTTTACGTAATAATTCAAAGTTAGTAATAATACTCAGGGATGCTCATGACTTGTGCAAGTATGCATTTGCCGTATGATATGCGCGGCAATTTCTTGTAACGGCACAATGACGAAGTGCTGCGCGTATCGCTTCAAGCGGCAAATGCGTATTTGCGTAACAGTTACGTACATCCATGTTAATATTGCGCAATCACTGTATAGGATAAGGTGTTGTGGAAGATGCATGTACGAAATAACCGTAATGTTAATATACTGATTGGTTAGTGGTAACGCGACGGAGTCATCTCATGTCTAGCGCGTGCCAGACGTAAGTTAACGGACTGTGGTAGCGCGAGCTATCACGGTGTAATTCCTTAAGCAGCCGTTTTTTTCTTTCTGGCCGTTTGATCGTCCGCGGTGCTCGAATGATGCGGGACGAGCGTTTTTTCGCTTCTCTCCTCCCCGGCTGCCTTGCTGCGTAGGCCGCGCCCAGCTTGGACCGCTCTCCTCCTTTCACCTTCAGTTCGGCAGCGGACCTCAGTGGAGGTCTTCCGCCAT